TTTGTTGTGAATGCAAGATCCAAATACACACCCAAACTCAAATTCCTAATTTGACCAGTGCGGTCGCCACTACCCCTTCAAGTACGATAAATGAATTAAAAGATGAAGATCCTCAGGATCTCCATAAAAAGGATCCTCATCCCTAAAAAAGCGAGTTTAAAAGGACTTTCCCTCCAAGTAATAATGCTTTAAAAGTTAATGCTAATTGCAGGTCCCACTGTTATTTTTAATTAAAAACAAATAATATTTGATTTATAATATTATTCTCTCTCTGTACCTTTCCTTCTCTCTTCTTTGAAGAACCGAACGTATGTAAAGTTCTAATTTGAATGGTTCTATCTAGGGCTGGCCATTTAAAAATAAAATCGAGTGGACTGTCCAAACCGCACGGCGGCTTGGTTTGGATTGGTTTTCCCTTTTTTTTTTTTTTTAAATTTTTTATGGTTAAACAGAATCATACCGACCTTAATCAATTTGGCAATTTTTTCTCAAAATTCTTAAGATGTGGTTAACCGAATCGATCCAAATATATTTAATTTTATTTTTTTGATCATAATTAATACGTGTAGTGATATAAATGGTTAGTTATTTACGAGTTAATATTGCATGCTAGGTTGAGGTTTTTGCATGCCCATTAAGTCCTCCATACACGACCCACTCAAATTTATGTCCAAACAACCTGCACATAATTTCAAGATAATAAATCAAAATCAAGTGTTGATGAAATTATGCAAAACGAAATTTCTTCTTGTTATTATGTATGAGGTTTTCAAAGTCCTCCAAAGTGATCACTATGTCAATGTCTGCTATATCATGTAATTAAGCATGGAAGAAAATAGAAGTATGATTGGACCAGAAAATAGGAGCCGGTTAATGTTATACTTTGAATCTTCCAAACCCCAACTAACTCATTGGAATTCAAGTAAAGAAAATGATATAATTTTCGTGCCCCTCTATTTATTTTATAACACTCCGCTTGAATGCTGGATACTTGAAAAAAAAAATTCTTCCTACTTACAAAGTTCAAAGATTAATATCATGTACTAATTCCGAGTAGTCATCTTTCTCTTATAGGGTATACACTTACAAGCTTGGTGAATTAATTTCTCTCTTATATAGTATACACTCACAAGCTTGGTGGATTAATTATTAAGAGGCGATTTTCGCATTCACTTTTTCTCTTCCATACTCCTCCATTTTTTAGTCTTTTATATATTTAATAAATCAATCTCCTTCTTGTGACATCAAATATTTAGCGGCTGTCTTTGCTTCTCTCTTTTCTTTTTGGTCATGTAAAGGTACAAATCCATATTATAAAAAGAGAACAAAAAAAATGTGGTAAACGATTGAAACTGCATTATTTCATAATCTAGACTACCTATGAACAAAATTTTCTTTGTCAACTAAAAAAGAGTGAAAAAACAATTTGGTTCTTTATTTACAATGGTGAAAAAACAATTTGGTTCTTTATTTACAATTCAATACAAATATCACAAATAAAATCATGAGTTGAAATATAAATTCGCAAAGAAAAAATTTGTTGTTTTTCTTCCCTTACTCACATGTGACCATAGTTTTACTCTTCCACTTTTCTCTCCCATTTCCTACTTTTTACCCTTTTTATTTTATTTTTCATTCAATTAAAACTATTTAATTCCATTTTTTTTTAAACACAGATAGTATGCAACTTTTATCACGAATATATATATTGGAACCAACACCAGATATCTAAATACATTTTATCTGGCCAATTTTTATTAATACTAATTTGACATGGAACCAATTATTGCATGTTACTTTTAGTTAAGGAAATAGGTAAAGATATTAATATGCAAATTTGTGGAAATATCGATAGATATATTGAGAACGATATTGATATCGGTTGTTTTCGATGGAAATGATGAAAATTTGAAACAAAGCTTTAAGGAATGTCAAACATTGGTTTAAAGGAAATATAAGAGTTTCTTTGATATTTAACTATTATGCGAGAAATATCGATAAAATCTGTCGATTATAGTTGAAATTCAAGAGTTTCTCCGATATATTCACTCTCATTTCCATATCTTTCTCTAATTTTATGGATATTTTCATAAAAATATGAATCGTATTGAAGAAATTCAAACTTTGATTCAAGGTTCTTGCATGGCCATTAAGTCATCCATAGACGCCCCCACTCAAATTTATGTCCAAAGTCCAAACGACTTGCACTTGCACCACATAATTTCGAACATAACTGTTAAAGTCACGTATTGATGAATTTATGGAAATTTCTTCTTGTTATTATGGTCAAGTTTTTCAATGTCGAAATGTCCAATATGGAACTAAGCATGGAAGAAAATAAAACTAAAGTTTGCTGATTGGACCGGAAAATAGAAGCATGTCAATACCATACTTTGAATCTTCCAAACCCCCGACTAACTCATTACTAATGCACGCTCCTCACATTATTTGTGAGGATGTGAGGAATGTCCTACTCAAGAAAGTTTTTTGTATGTATGGGTATTCAAGCAATATTCTGCACGTCATAATACGAGAAGAGAAAATAATATATTTTTTATGTCCCTTCACTTATTTTATAACATGTAAAGTACTTGCTTGAATATCGGATACTCGAAAAAATTTCTCATTACTTTGAAAGTTCAAAGATTAATATTATGTATTAATTCTGAGTTGTGCCTCTTTCATGTATAGAGAATACACTTGCAAGCATGGTAGATCAATTATTCAGGTGTGATTTCTGCATTAACTTTTATCACCCATATACTCCTCTTTTCTATATTTAATAAATCAAAGATTAACAAAGAGAAAACAACAGTGGAAAAACAATCCTTGTTGTAATTAGGGGTGGCTGAAACTGATAGCGAATAGAAATGGTCGGTCCCAAAACCGAACCAAAATTGTTTGTGAAAGAGGTTGGAAAAGCAAAACCGAACTAATATTTTGATTTCGGTAATGGGCCTTCAGACCAAATGTTTTGGGCTTTTGATTTTAAGCCCAACAAAACCCAATTTGTGCTCAATTTTGCCAAAATTTTTTCAACTGTAAATTATAGGGTAAATTACACTTTCATACCTTAAGTACTATTTTATTTCAAAATAATACATTTGTTACATTTTCCATCCATTGATCCGTTAAGTGCTGACGTGGACACAACGCGGCTGCGAAATGTGTGCCCCGTGGCAAAAAAAAAACAATTTTTTAATTTTTTTTTAAAAACCCTAAATCTTCTAAATATATTAATTAAAAAAAAAAAAAAAAACAAAAGCCCCCAGAAACCTATCCTTTCTCCCTTTCCCCGCAACCCCCTACCCTACCCCTTATCGTGCGCACCCCTCACCTGGTGCTCCAAAACCGGCAATTCCGCCTCTGTCGCGAACGCCTGCACACTATGGACAGATCTGGCAGTCACCATTGCCATGGCATTCTTGCTCACATCCAGAGCCTGCACCACATGCACCACCCCGGGGTGCCTCAACCTCACTTGCCTCGTCGCATCAGCTCGAATGATCTCCAAAAACCCATCTTCCGCCGCCTTGGTTAATCTAGTGCACATGCGCACCTCTGACAGAGCGACGCAAACGGTGGGGTCAGGCGTGAGTTCTTTTATGGGATATGGGTGTGAGTTCTTCTGGGTCTCGGGCGTCGGGATTTAGGTGTGAGTTTTTTTGGATACCTGTCAATGTGCTGTAGAAAATCCCAAATGATGAACATATCGGCTCTACACGCAAGCCCAGTACAAATCCACATACAGCCTCCCGTCAACAATCACCATGCGATACGCCCTGTATTGCTTGGTGGTCTGTAAATGGGCGACGGAAATCCAGGTTTGGGCCCAGGGCTCCAGATTGTGGTGGATCTAACAGAAGAACTCGAGGCATTTTGGGGCTTTTGAGTGGGACGACGGAGGACGAGGTCATTTAGGGACTTCGTTGTTTTTATAGCAGCAGGCTATGTGAAGGTTTTTTGGCAAGAAGAAGTGCCACGGCGTTGGCTCGAGGTTGTGCCCGGCCAATATCTTGATTTTGGTCTGAGTTCTTCTGGGTGTTGGGTGTGAGTTCTTCTGTGGGATCCGATGCCTTGCACGTCTCGGCTTGCTAGGATTTCGGGTTGAATGTGGCGGCGGAGTTGGGGTTAGGTTTTATGGATATTTCGATTTGGAGGTCATGGGCGAAGGGTGCGACAGTTGTTGCGGGAATAGGGTTTTTTGAGGATTTTAGGGATTTGGGGGCGCAAGGTTTGAAGAGAGGGAAGTCGATAGCATGGATCCGTGGGGGAGGTGAACAAAGTGGAGGAGAGCGGTGGGGGGTTGCGGGGAAGGGATGGGTTTCTGCGTTTTTTTTTGTTTTTTTTTTAATAAACTATTCTTTAATTTATTATTGTTTAATGTATAAAAAATATTTTTTTGCCCACATGGCACAAATGTGGCAGCCATGTGGCACAAATGTGGCAGCCACATCAGCTCTTAACAAACCAATGGATGAAAAATTTAACAGATGTATTATATTGAAATAAAAGAGTACTTGAGGTATGAAAGTGAAATGTTTTAAAGATATTGTAAGGAATTGAAATCGACCCCAAACCTGAGGTGGTAAAGTGTAATTTACCCTAAATTATTACTTTAGTCTAAAGAAAGCATTGGAATTGGCACTGTAGAAATGAACAGTGTTTGGGTCTGAATTTCATTTTTTTTACGAGCATGCCATTCTTTTAAAAAATGGGCTTTGTGGGTTTGGGCTCCGGATGGGATTTTATTTCCTTGGTTGGAATTGTATTGGGTGGATGGGAATGGGGTTTGGGCACACAATCACCCACAGAGAGAAGTCACCTGCAGATTAGAGAGAGATGAGAGCTGACAGAATGGAGAGAGAGTGAGGGCCGCCAATTTTGACTCGGGGAGAGATGGTTGTGCTTCGGGTGGTTGGGGGAAGACAGGGGGACTGACATATTGGAGACAGATGGGTGCTAGGGCTTTCGACTCAGTGACAGAGAGATTTATCTAGGTCCTCTGCCATGACTTATGGGCTTTCCTCTGATTTTAGAGAGAGAGAGAGAAAGAAAGAGAGAATGAGGGGGAAGGCATGGTTGTGTGCAGTTTGTGGGGTTGGCCGATCAGGAAAGGGTGACTGAGGGAAGTCTGGGTGACTTTGAGGGACTGATGGATTGGAGAGAGATGAGAGCTACAGGTATGGATGAGTTTATTGTTTTTAATTCATTGTTTACTGTTTGATTTACCATCTGCTTTCTTCAAATTGTCATAGATATTTTTTTTCCTTCTTTAAAGTTGACATAGATAGTTTTAGGAGGTTTAGTTCATCGGCAGTCTATTGTTTTCCCTGGTAGAAAGGTCCGGTCTTGCTGTATCCTCCGACTCACTCCATTCTGTCTCTGTCTTTGTGATTCTGGGTTCTGTTCTGCCATTTTTTCTTCTCAAAGAAACCTAATTGCAGGTTCCATTTCCTTCTCCAAGCTTTTGTTATGCTTTGTGCTGCTGTATTTTCTATTTTTAATGAGGCTTGATTGAAATATACATCAGTTTGATTGAAATATGCATCAACTTGAATGATTATGCTGCTGTGTTTCAAAGAATAGCAACTTTAATAGGTCTTAAGTCTCTAATTCATTGAACTATTGCATATATTGTGAGGTATTTAATTTTTTCATTTATTTTCGTGTTGAACATATAGATTTTCATTCTGTCGCTGGAGTTAACTTTCCTTTTAAGTGAAGTATTTAATTTTTTTTTGTTTCGTCAGCAGATAATTTGTTCGTATTTTTCATTGCAACCTTTTATGTGTATAAATATGCATGTGATTTTTTTTTTTCCAGGAAAATAATTGCAGAAAGGGAACGTACTTGCCACCAAGGTGTGTTTCGTTTGGGTTTCTAATGTCTATAAAATTAGATTTAATAATTGCAAGCGAATTTTCCCTAGAAACAATCAGATTATTGGATCTAAGTTGCTAATTGTTTTAATTTTGTATAGGCTGCAATAAAATCTGCACCCACAACTGGAGGAGTCAAGACCCCTAACCATTACCACCCTGGAACCGTCGCTCTTTGGTGAGTTTTCAACACAATATAGTTCAAATCCTCTAAATCGTGATCTTGAATTTTACCGTGTTGCATTTCGTTATCTGAACTCTGTTCTTTCATTTATAAATCCGTTTGATTGAAAATTAGTCCATTCGTACCGTCTTCCACCCAAACAACCACTATATAGTTTGAAGAATGCATTTAATCTTTCTGGCAACGCCATTTATTTATCTCTCAGCAGCCTACAAGGGGATTTGATTGCATCATATTGGTTTGGTCACTCATCTCTTTGTCCTTTTTTCTATAAAATTTTGTGTTATGTGGATGTGGGTTATTCTCAATGTTTAGATGGTAATTATTTGACAACTTTTGCAAAATTCTATGTATGATATAATAAAGCTTTTTCGAACTGAATGTAAGCAAAAGTTTTGCAAATTAGAAGTGATAAAAATCTCTATTTCATATAGCTACACTACTGCATAGCAGTATTTGATCAAACTATAATACGTTTTTTTTTACAACGGTGATGCAGAAGGGTTAGCGTTGGAGTTGGAAATAAGTAGGACTTTGTATGGATTATTCTCTCCTTTCCCTGCATTAGAAGGTAAGTATTATTCCAAAATGTTTGGTATAAGTGAAGTTCAGATTGTTGAACCGTAGCATTTTAATTTGACAAGTTCAAAAATTTTCATTGAAATTGAAGCATTTTGAGGATCTCTTTTGAGTTTTATTGTTGTATTATTGTTTTATTCTCGCCTATTTTTGTTTCTACCAATTTTGCTTATATATGTTTGATTAAGAATATAGATATTGAAAGTTTTGTTAATTTTTTCTCATCCCTCTTTTACAAAATTCGGTGAAATGCATTGCAGGTCATCAGTGCCCTTTTGCCTCCAAAGTTTCCAAACTAACTGAACTCATGTCCCTCAGGCCCATTTCTCCTCCTTGACTTGCTGTGAAGAAGCTCAACTTCTCAGGGTTCGGTTTTATTGTTAGAACTTTTGTTTTTTTACATATGTTTGTGATTAATGGTTTTCTTTTGAAAAAATGCTAATGGAAAACTGAATTTGAGTTATGACTTGTGATTTTTATTTGTTGCTTACTAAGATTTTTGTCCATTTTCTCCACCTCTCTCTCATAGCGGAATCACCATCACCACCCAACAAACCCAAGTGGGGGAATTTCGATTACTGTTCTTGGAGGGAGGTAAAGCTGCTATCTTTCTCTACAAAGCGTTGGATTTTTTTAAATTTGGGTTCCATATTTTTTTTCTCTATTGGTTTAGCTTATGTCAAATTTCGCTACGTCTTAAGGTTCACTTATGCCTTATAATTGGTAATATTTTCAGTGCGCCTGTGTACAACACTACGTGGTGTTCATGCACAGCCGTTTTGTTATTGGTTTTTGGCTGTTTGTTATTATGTTCCATTCCACTTTGATATCCTTTAATAGAAAATGCTAAAATCCTAACTCATTCCCATTCAATGACATCTTAAGTTGTTGTAGAAGCAAATGATCCAATAATTACATATTTAATCAGAACTCCATGAGTGTTTTTTTCAATGATTTGTTGATTTTGTGTGATTTCAGTTGCATGGCTATCATAAAGCGAATCCTCAACTTTGTTCGTGTATATTGAGAGTAAATTAGAGAGCTAAAACGTAGTAAAGTTTGAATATTTATGTTTAATGTTGTTTTGAGTTTGGATTCATTTTGTTTGTTTGATATAACAAATTCAGTGATAGCGAATTGGCGCTTTTCTCCATTTTGAACAGTGTTTAACTCATTTCTAATTTTCTGTTTGGTTTCCAAGAAAATCGAGGGTAAAAAGGATAGAAGATTAATGAATTCACTGAATTGAGTGCTTTAAGTCCAATTTTGATCGAAGTTATTCCCTTTGCTTTCATTTCTGGTTTTTTTCTTTTGGGTTTCCGGCACGTTGAGGATGGTAAAATAAATTATTTTGATTTTGGAAGTCTACTTTGTTTTTCAGCTTTAGTTCTTGGGAGAACCGAGAATGTGATTTCATGTATGGTGGTTGTATTTGTCTGTCATTTGAAAGCAATTGAAACAGAGAGAGAGAAGGGAGAGGAAAAGGATTTGGTCCTCATTTAATTCTTCTTCTATTTCATAGATTCAAAATGTGTTTGGTATCTCACTTAATTGGTGTACCTTTGCTCATTTAACTCAAATTTAATATGATTTGGTCCTCCAATTTCTCTAAATTGCTAACGGATTTATTTTCTTGGGAAATTTCATGAACTCTGGTTGTGATGCTTGCAGGTGAACTATATGCATGGTTTTTTGGGATGAGTTAGGAATATCCACCTGAAAACAGCATGGAAGATAAAGAACTGGTATGTTGCTTCGTCTTTCTGTTGGATTTTGATGTTTATGTTCTGCTGCTAAGAGGATTTTATGGTGTTCTAAACCTGTTTTGTAAATGTGCTTAAAGATTGGACACGTTCTTCAATGTTAGCCATGTTGTTGAATTGGATATGTGGTTGAATTTTAGGTATTTACTTTGAATTGATTTGGATATGTAGTTTATTGAACTGGAATTTCGATATGTGCTGATATGAATTGGATATGTTGAATTAGAGATGTGCTCCTTTGAATTCGATAGGTTGAAAAATGACAAGCCATGGTATAATGACTGCTTTTTTTTGTTTTGTTTGTTTGTTTTTTTTTTTTAATTTTTGTGCCAAGTTTACATAAGTCCCTAAGGTTGAATGTTGTTGCAATTTGGACGATCAGCCATTGATCAAAATCATTAGAAAACATGACTTAGTAGAGAAATGACAAGTCCATCACATATTAGAAAATCAGTTTTGCCCATTGATCTAAATCATTACAGGATTAAAAACTAGAATCTGACTTTGAAAGAACTAACTTTCTCTTCTAAAACAGCTTCCTCCAACAAAAAACGTTCTTGCAGATGTTTAACTGCACATAGTAATGCAAAAAGATAATAGGTCAGAAGTTAATAGTTTACACCCATATTTCAAACACGATGATTGTTTGTTTTGAACATACACCAGGTTCACCTTATATCAGCAATTTCCCAGTCACACTAGCATAAACATTAGATATGAGTTTCATAAAAAAAACAATTTGGTAGATTTGTGTATGCCCCCTTGGGAACTAATTCTGTGTGGAATTTTGTTGTATGGGCTATGGAGTAAATATATGTTGCATGACGTGACTTATTTGAGTTCAATAGAGGATCGTGGCGATGCCCATGAAAAGCTGCATATCATGCTTCTTATGAAAACTTTCCCTTCATCTTTAGATTAGCAAACAGAAGAATGAATTCAGAACAGTAGGATTTCGATTGCTTTTTCTTTGCTCATTTGATTCGCTGGGTTTATAGATTTTAAAGGTTCAACATCGACCCGATGTTCATTTTTGAAATACACGAAATTTCCTTTTTATTTTTCTGGGTATAAATTATCTGTGAAACTCTGGTTTGATTTGACTTTTGAAAGAAGAAAAGAAAAGGATAACTGAGAGATTGGTTTTTGAAGAGAACCCATCTGGATATGGAATAAGATCCTTTGACTAGGCCTAAGAGTCATACGTCAAGATTTTGAGTTGTTTATTTGGGCCATGAGATCCATTGGTACCTAAAATGTGTACTCCATTGAGGGACACCTTTTGAAAATTTAAATTCAACCAAAGGAATTTCAACATTTGTGCTTTGGAAGTTAGCTACTTGAACAAGAACTTGAACATTTGACATATATTTTATCCTTTTCCATAATCCCTGTTGGATCAATACTCCCTCTCAACATGCAAGTCGTGGCACTAGAATTCCTTTTTTAAGACTGGTATTTTCCTCTTTCTTCAAGAATGACAAACGATGTTGCAAATATGATTCTTCTAGAGGAATATAAGAAGACATCATCTTAAACGTAGTGAAAGGAGCTGCAAATACAAAACATGAAGGAACAAAACCCATCAAGGAACTAGAAATAGTAAAAGGAAAAATAAATTTGATAGGAGGTTATATAATCCATGGACATGTATATAAAACAATCATATGGCAGCCATTTGAAAAGAAATAAATATCATCTTACCTTTGGCTGCTGCACGCCTATTGAAGAAAACACCACGAGTACTTTCCTGATTTGTCATTAGTAACTCCATAAAATAATCTTTCAGCGCCCCTCCATGGCATAGAAGGGCAATTAAATTCCTATTGCACATACAATGCAGTAAGACTAAGATACGATCACATTATATGAACTTTAATTAGTTTTCATGACACAGTTTCAATTTCTTTGCTTTGCTTTGGAAATTTGTGAGTTGATCTTCAGATCACTTAATCGATTTAGCTTGCAGTTTCACTATTGAGGATTGTTCATGTATTTTAATTTTACCTGGATTCTATTTTTGTGATTGCCACCCTTAGTCGGTGGTATTATCTTTACAATGGTTTAAATTGCAGATTTAGAGAATCTAATAACAAAACTAAATTATATGTTCAATGCTTTTCGTTTTCATTTTGGGTTTTGCTTTGTTTGGAAATTTGTGCGTTTATCTTTGGTCAAATGTAGGCAACAATGTGAAAGTTGATGTTTTGAGACTTACCCTTTGTTTGCTGCTGCCTTTAATGTAGGGGTTCTAAGCCATACATTTCAATCAAACCTTTGGTATGTCTTGAACTTGGATACGTTGTTTCCCCATGCTTTCCGTTTAAGCCAGTGCGATTTTAGAATTTTTTTAATTGAACCTTTGGTTTCTTCGTCTTATATTATACGTTTGTCCCATGCTTTGTTTCTCATTCTTGGTTGTCTCTATCACCTTTGATTGTCCAAAGGTCCGATAGTACTTTGTTTTTTTGGGTTTAAATAATGTCTATGCAATTCTATTATTTTTTTGAAAATTTCTTGCTCTCTCTGTTTGTAAAGCAAAATAAACTGGTTGGAGTATCTTCTAAAGGGCTCCTGCAATCTTTATAATTACTCTGTTGTTTCTGTTAGTTATGGGTATCTGACTTTCTTTTTAATTTCTATATATGTCGTTCCAATGGAATCAAGTGCCAAAATTAGAATAAACATCTTTTAGTCAAGTTGGACACTTATCCATATAATGTTTGGTTCAGGGATCCTTATACAAACATAATCTTCTGATGTATTTCAATCAGTGTGAAAATTGTCTTAACTATACAATTGATGCGTTATAGTCTTAGTTCATTGAATCCGTTTGTTGACGGTTTGAATTCTTACTGTGAATCTCACTCATTTTTTGCAGTTAACACTGTCAAAATGCTTTTTGGTTCTGTTTTCTATATTTGTTATTTAAGTTTTGCAAATCTTCTACATTTACTTTATTAATCTGAGTTTTTAAGATTTTTGACGGTGTTGTTTTTCAAGATACAAGTTAAAAGATATTTTAAAAAAAACATAAATATTAACGCTGTATTTAATTTTTGATCCAGGGTGAATAATATGGTATACGAGATTGATCGAAGAGAGCAACAAATTATAGGAGGAGTGTTGGTAAAAAATTTAAGGGAACTGGTTAAGGCTCGACACGATGAACAAAATCGAGGGACATTAGTGAGATATTATGACACTGCTCCGGGACCTAGTACAAAGAGAGCAGTGAAAATAGAAAAAACAAGAATGGGTTTGCGTGTTTATGGTAGGGGTGCAAACAAAAACAAGTTGGTGGTCCATACCACATATCCACCTACAAATCGTAGTAATCTACCAAAAGAAAAGGTTTTGTCGGATAAAAAACCTTTGCAACATTTTTTGGGGTTTTTCAGTGGGATTTACAACTTTAGTGGCTGGAAAAAACTTGGATTTTTGTTGCTCTTGCTTGCCTTTGCTGCAACGGCCGTTTGGGTTTTAAATGTCTAAAGACGGGATGGGTTTTAGATAAGATAAACGCAATGTAAACTTTTTTTGTTTGGTCATAAGGGCGATACTGTAAACAATTAAGCCTTTAACCGTTTTAAGGATAAAGTATTGTTAATACGTTTTTTTGCAACTTTTTGGTACACTTCTATCTCACTAATGAATGTTTTCTGCTGACCCTTTTATCGTTTTAAGGATAAAGTATTGTTAATACTCTCTTTTTCACCTTTTTGCTGCAGTTCTGTCTTTCTGAAGGCAATAACCTTATTGTGCTGGAATTATGTTTCTCTCCTTATATTTGTATGCCATTTGTATTGTTGTTGATAGGATCCTTTAGCCAATGCTTCTTTGGTGGTTATACACTTTTAAGGCAGTTGTTGTTTTCATGTTTTGGATTTCTAAGTGAGCTGCCGTTCTCATCATTGAGTATTTTCAATTGTGTGCCTCTTACTTTTTTTGCCTTAACTTTAATCTTATGATTTTTGGTGCCCTAATGAATTTTTCTCATAATGCATATAAAAACCTTTGACTTTGGTGCTTCTATTGAAGCAAGAAAAACTCATATCTCCCTTTTATAATTTGATTAGTGGTTGTTGATTAGATTTACCTAATTCTTTTACTAAGAATTTGGTTTACATACTCCGTTCGTTTTTCTTCATATAAGTATATAAAAATTGCATCATGAAACTAATTAGAATTATTGAACTTATGGATGAGTTGGCATTGTTAATTGGTCGTACTTAAACTCAAAACATGTTGGAGTATTTCTTTTATTAATAATTTGTATCAAATTAAACGTTTCATAAGAGTCTAAATTGAGAGCTTTCTGAAAAAGAATGCAACTAGATCACACCATTTTATATATATTTTATTACATTGCTTATAACACAGGTCAATATTTTGTAAACTAGAGCAAAAGTTCATTATGCTGTCTTAAGTATTGCTAAAATTGTCAAGTGAAATGTAGTTGGCGAATACAAAAAATTAACCTATGAAATCTTAATGATGATTGTTCATGTGACCCTGTTGATAAGTGTCTCCAATGTGATGGATATTTTGTGATGTAAAAGTGTTAGTTTGACGTTGGATTCTTGGTGAACATGTGCTATCCCAAGTGATGGAATCGCATCATGGGTTTCTATGTTTCCATAAACAGATTTAATGAAAATATTTTCCAACATCTACGAAAACAGACATGGTGAACACAAACTTTAATCTTCAAACTTTCTCAGTGTTGCAGTATCTAGTGATTTAGTTTATCCTGTTAACCTATTGTAAGATCAACCAAAAATGTTTTGCATGTTCTTATTGTTTTGCATTATATGCTTTTTTATTGTTAGATCAATTGTGATTTTGTATTATTCGTGTTTGCGGTGTTAAATTGTTCATGTACTTTCACTTTTGCATCTAATTAGTCAACCGACAACAAAATTTAAACGTTTTAAATTCTAATCATCTCTATTTAAGACAATGCATTTTTTTTCTAACCTAAAACCGTTTGATGCATGTCATTTCTTTAAAGTATTGAAACATACATCGTTCCAACTGTATATGTGTTTATATATTCTCTTTCTTTCTGTAGGTTCTATAACTACTATTTTAATTGTTCCGGTCCTGTATTACTGCTCAATTGGATTTGTGCGTAGCTGCAATCCCGTCTCTATATCGGTTAGATTTCTGCAACTTTAAAGAACCATCACCTTCTTCGTTTCTTTTTGCTTTTTTGTGGCCTTGAACATGCAATCATTCATGAATCCTTCTTGGATCGTGGTTCCTTTCTTATTTGATATTTATGCTGCTGCTCTTTATCGCTGTTTTTTTAGAAATCATTGCATGCTTTATCCATACTTTTTACCGTTGCAACGGGAAACAACGTTGTCCAGAGAGACAGCCGTAAATTAAGTTTCTCTGTTATTTGTTCTAATCTAATCACATTATGATTGTGTTTTTACTGTTGTGTTTACAATGTGTTTGTCTTTTTAATTACCTTTTGCTTTAATGAGTCATGGTTCGCTACTAATTTCATTTGGTTTGGATGGTTATTTGGTTGGAGTGTTGCTTTTATTAGAGAGTGAACTGCTGCTGTTTCTGTTGTTTTCTTTGCCCTTTATGTAGTTTTATGTCTAGACGAATAGGGCGACCTACGAGGGCTGTTAAAATTGAACGTGCCGATTTGCCTGCATTTGTTGCGGATGGTGATCTCAGTAATTCAGAGTTGCAAGATGTTCCCACTGCTTACGACGATCAATATAATGATGTTTCAAGTTCTTTCTCACTTTTGAAAAACCAACACAACCCTTCCCAAACATTTGCATCAGCTTTCAAACAAAATTTTCCCATCCATGGAGTTTTTAGCCCACATTTCGAACCTGGGACAAGTTCTAATTAGATTTATGTGCCGCCTTTTCTTGCTGATCGTGCAAATGTGTGCAATCTGTTAGCCGTTGATGCTCAAACCAATCATTCTAGCATGAACCCGCTAATAACGGGGCAAGCCAACTATCAAAAAAAAAAAAAATAAAGAGTATGCAGTCTTTCGACATAACTTTGTTCTCATTTTCTCGCTAATTTCAAAAGTTCACTTTTCTCCATTAGTTAACTTAAGGTTGTTGATTTGATGTCTGCTTCTATTAATCTTTGTTTTTATAGGGATTAATACAGAATATGTTGATTTTGGCTTAAGAAATTGCCAATGTCAATACTGCGGTGCTCTGTTTTGGTCTACAGAACAGTCTGCAAAGAATGTTCCATCTACTTCTGCCCTGCAGTTCACCGTGTGTTGCATGAGTCAAAAAGTAAAATTCCCACGTGTTAAACCCACACCTCCTTATCTGGATCATTTGTTGAATCCCAAAAAATTCTCAAAGCTGCTTGCAATTTAAAACAATTGTTAGATCGTATAATTCAATGATGGCGTTAACATCAATGGGAGCCAAAGTCGATGCATCAATCAACAAGGGTCGGGGTCCTTATATTTCTAAGATAAATGGTCACGTACATTATTTGATGGGTCCTTTAGTGCCTTTGGTGGGCAAAAATCCTAAATTTGCACAACTGTACATCCATGACACTCAGAATGAAGTCAGTAATCGTATTGGTTGTTTTGGTGGATTAGAAGCGGTTAAAAAATTCGACCATCATGTTGTTGATGGCCTTATTAAAATGCTAGACGAGTGTAATGAGGTTGTTAAGCTTTTTAGGCTCGCCAGAGATATGATTGATGAAGGGTCCACAAGTCATTTGCGTTTACATTTATACGGTGCGCGGGGCAATCATGATGCACAATATAATTTGCCCGTGTCTGACAAGATAGGTGGCTTGATAGTTGGGGATATCGGTGAATTCCACACTGAAAGAGATATCATTGTAGAGCATAGGACGAATGGCCTACAAAGAATCACAAAGTTACATCCTAAGTACATGGCACTACAATATCCTCTTCTTTTCCCCTACGGTGAAGATGGGTATAAGAAAGGCCTTCCTTGGAATCCAGATTATAAAGGGAAAAAAACCAAAGACTAAGGGAGTTTCAATGAGAGCGTTTCTAGCTTATCAAATTCAGGATAGACCAGGACACAATGATACCCTGTTGAAAGGTGGCAGATTATTTCAGCAATATTTAGTTGATGCATATGCCACGCTTGAAGAAGATAGGTTAGATTTCATCAAGGTAAATCAAGATTCTTTAAGAACATAAAGTCTTAATGGAATTCATGAAGCGCTAAAAGCAAGAAATACAAGCAGTTCTGCTGTTGGCAAGAGAGTCATTTTGCCAACTTTGTTTACTAGCAGCGTTAGATAGATGATAAATAATTATCAGGATGCAATGGCCATATGCCGTCACTTTGGAAATCCTGATTTATTTATCACTTTCACTTGCAATGCTAAATGGCCTGAAATTATTGAAGATTTGGGTTATAAACCTGGTTGTAGAGCTGAAGATAGGCATGATATAGTCTCTAGAATTTTTAAAGCAAAGCTTAATCATATGATTAAATTCATCAAATCAGGGAAACCTTTTGGCGATATCGAATCTAGTTAGTTAATAGCTCTTGGCCAATTTTTTCCCTTTCTTTGTTTATCTATCTTCTTATTACATATTTAAAGCGTTTTGTTTTCATGTCTTTGCATTCTTTATTTAAAAACAGTGATTTACATGGTGGAGTTCCAAAAACGGGGTCTTCCTCATTGTCATATCTTGCTTTGGGTGAACAAACATTATAAATGTCACTTTCCCTACGATATTGATTCTATTATTTCGGCTGAGCTTCTTGATACAGATTCTGACCAAGTTGGGTATGATGCAGTTTCACAGTACATGATCCATGGGCTATGTGGTCTTGCAAATCAATTTTCACCATGCATGAAAGAAAACAAATGTTCAAAAAAATTTCCAAAAGCTTTCACAAGTGAAACCACTTTTTCGGATGATGGTTTCGTTGCTTATAAGCGTCGGGATATAGAAAATATGTTTGTTTTGAAAAATGGAATCAAGCGTGATAATGCATTTGTTGTCCCTTATAATCGTGAGCTATTATTGAATTATCAAGCGCATATAAATGTTGAATCATGCTCTTAATCAACACTCATCAAATATCTTTTTAAGTACATAACTAAAGGCGTTGATCGGGCTAGAGCTGTTTTTGAGGATGAAGAGTTTGATGAGATTGTGGCTTATCTAAATTGTAGATATTTATGCCCTTAAGAAGCTGTTTGGAGATTGTTACAGTTTCACATTCATTTTAGGGAACCATCGGTTGAAAGATTGTCCATGCACCTTCCATTTGACCAAAATGTTGTTTTTAGAGAGATCGATGATCTCAACTATGTTATCAACAACCCTAATCTCGAAAGAACAATGTTAACACAATGGTTTGAAACCAATGTCCAAGACTCTGATGCACGTAAGTTATCTTACATTGAATTTCCTACCAAGAATGTTTGGAAAAATGATAGAAAACAATGGAGCTGTAGAAAACAAGGTAGATCTTTAGGTAGGGTTACGTATGTTCACCCTACTGCCGGTGAATTATACTATTTGAGGTTGTTGCTTAACTACCATAAAGGCAGCTTTAGTTTTGACCATTTAAAGACCGTCAAAGACGTTCTTGAACCCACATTCCAAGCTGCATGTACATCCTTTGGTTTATTGGGAGATGATAGGGAATGGAATAGTGTTATGTTAGAAGCAGTTATCACTGCGTCATCTTT